TTTTTTTCCTTCCAAGTAAACAAAGATTTTGTTTCCCTTGCAATACAGTGTTTTTGATACATAGCCCTAAACTGTCAGTGTTTGATGAGACCAAAGTGTATTTTTTTTCAGGATACATAATGAAAATATTAAGCTGCTCTGACTGCTCTGGTCTTCATCAGGAGCAATGAAAAGAATTAACTTGCTCAATACAGGACATGTAGCCCAACTGTAATAGTGAGGAGGGAGGAATGGCACTTTTCTAAGGACTATTCTTGGGCCAAATTCAAACATATTTTGCAAATGTTGAGAAAGCATTACCCCTGAAAGCCAGAAGGTCAATCTTTCTGATAGTGCTGGCTTCTTACCCCTCTGCCAGCACCAGGCACGAACAATAGATATATTTCTCTTGAACTTTTTCTCTGAGACATTTGTGAAAATAAACCATTTTCAGCTTAGCCTGAGATAATCCCTTGAAATGTTAGCCCAAATTAATGTTTTGGAGGCAGTGGTGGGAAGTGCCAAGCGACTTATAAACAGCATGACCAATTTTGCCTCTAGCACAAGTGGCCATTAGCATCTGGCCAAGGATGTCACATGACACTGGGTGGCATATTGTCCATTCACAGGACAGGGACATTCCTCTCAAAAGGCACACTAGCACACACCTATTCATTATCTGAATGAGGGAAAAGGTTTTTCTTGCCCATCCTGGATTTTGCAGGATATTTCCGTGTGTGTTTACTTTTCTGGAATAGTAAGAATGTAGTAATACATTCTGAAATGTATTATATGTGTATATTATATATACAATATTGTACAGCCATGATTAGATGTGCAGACACACACTCTCACTCTCTGGTTACTGGTGACACTTTCCCAGTCCTGGTTGATACAAAGTTCTGTCACCAAACACTGCAGTGTTGTCCCAGCTCTTGTTCAGGGTATCTCTGTGGTTCCTCCATTCCTCCATGCAGCTCATCCAGCTGCACTTGTCCTGGGACCTGTCTGTGGGAAATGGATTTCTAGATCCATTTCCCACAGACAAAATCAAATCCACTTCCCACACCTGTCCTGAGGAGTTTCTCCCCTGATGAAAACCATATCAAGAGGCCATGCTGCAGGTCTGGAAACTCCTCCAGGCCCAAGCAGAGTATGGGACAGACTACTCCAGCATAACCCTTTCCCTCACCTGCTCCCACCCTGGAGGTCTGCAGCCCAGAAAGGATCCTTCTCCTCACATGCACTGGAGCTCCAGAGTCCTGCTCTGAAATTTCAGAGGCAGGCCTAGGACTGCACTTTCTGCCTGCTGGGGCAGGCTGGATTGCAGAGAGCCATTAGCACAGTTTCCAACAGAAACACTTCTGTGGTGTACTAGAGATATGAAAACGGATTTATTTTCCCCTCCCTTTTTCTGTCCAGAAAGATTTTCTCCCCCGGATCTGTCACTTTGGGTTACTCCCCTTTAGATGGCACTGTTACCACTTCCAAGAGAGATCACGGCCGGGCACTTCTGTGAACAGGGCTGACACTGGGCCAGGACTGCCACTATCACTGGGTCAACAAGCCACAGCAGGTCAGGAGTGATCCACACCAGGGCTCTGGAAATATTTGCTCTAAAAAGTCCTCCTGGTGTCACTCCAGCTCCTGCCAGCCAGTTGTTCACTCTGCCATGCCAGCACAGCACAAGGGCTGTATCGGCAAGAGGAACATCTGACGACCTTAAGGACAAATTTAATCTGCTCCTCTTCAGAATCAGTTTGAAGCAGTTCCAAAAGTCAACAAGAGTCATGTGCATATACGAGGGTCTTAAGCTAATACATCTGCTAATTAAATAATAATTAAAAGCCATGCTCTGCACAGGCACTGCAATCATTAATTTTCATGCTTATGTCAGAACCACTGCTTTAATCTTTTACATCTATTGCCTCAGTTATCACCTGCTTTGATTGCCTAGGCTTTTCCCAAGGATAGAAAATTGGTTTAAATGGCATTTAATGGGTCTGCATTAAATACTGCTACATGTTGTGCACTTCTAGATGCCAATTAAAAGAATCTTGCCAATTAAGAGCATTTTCAGCTGAGGAAGAAAGATGATTCCAGGATACCATTCAGCAGTGGTATGAAACAGTCAGAAAACAAATCCAAAAAATGATAAGAAAATATAATTTATGTAATCTTAAAGCACTCAGAGAAACTGCTGGTGTGGTCCAACTCTTTATTACATACAACACACTCTTTCTACACAGTGGTCTGTTGGACCACTTGCCTTGGTGCTTTCATCAGCTTTGGAAAGAGGAGAGAAACAGTGTGAGCAAAACAAGAGAGCCACAGACATGGGCCCACTTGCACCTACTTACACCTACACTGGTCCTTAGGCTGTTTTTAAGACTCAGTCCTGTCCTCACTGCCTAGGAGCATATATTACAACAGAATTTAGGTCAAAATCTGAGAAAAATCTATGTTTTGAACATTATTTTGCTGTGATGTAAGGAGAGAGAGACGTTGGACACAAACTACTATCAGTCCGTAAGTGGCTCCCCAGTTTCAAAATAGGAGACACAAGAGTGGAACTGCTAGCTGGACAAATCAACCCCAAAATTCTTGGGAATAAGGCTGCACCTTTTTATCAAAAGAATGTTTTTCCTTTGGCAAACTGCAGTTCCACTCAGACCTCAATCATTTTGTCTGCAGGGTTCTCAGCTACATATACACCCAACTGTTATTATTTTTATCATGTGAAAAGTTGGTTTATTTTTTCCCATGCTTCCCTAACCCAAAGACAGCCAACTCAATTTTGCTCAAGCTTTCAGACAATAATGCCACTTCAGAAAATGTCTACAGATTGCATTTTTGAATGACACTCAAAACCTTGTAAGCCTGTGTCTATGTTGCAAGACAAATGAGTGCCCAGTTACACAACTGCTTGAGTAGTCCCAGATTGTCCCACTGTATGTAGGCTCCCAGCTTTAGCACTGAATCTAAGAGTGCAGCAGCCTTACTGCTCCCTGGAAGTCTCAGATGAGACAGGGCGAGTGACTCAAGCAGAAATTCAGGTCTTTTGTGCTCTAAATAGTCTTCATGAAGTCCTCACATGTCTGCATGCACTAAAAATGGAGCCTAAAGCAGCCATACTCCTAAAGGAGGTACCACATCTGCATGGATCTGGAACAAATCTACATCTAATCCTGCCCAAACTTGAAGGTGCTTAAATTCTACAGGTGTGTTATTTTTCACCTCCAGGCACTCAGAGGAGCATTACTGCAATCCCCAGCTGGCCTGAGAAATACAGAGGAGCTGGGAATGTGAGGTGCATCTATGCTTGGCCAGACTTTGTGAGGGTGCTATTAAATAAAGACACCTGAGTTGTTCAGTTTAGGAGGCATTTTCAGGACAGATCCAACAGGCACCAACAGCAGAACAGTCATCTCAAAGCTCAGCTCCAGCAGCTGTTCTCATTTAAAACATATCCAGAGGAGATGAAGGAGATGTGAGAGTTCCTTCAGCAAATGTGAATGAGGCATGTGATGAAAAATGTTTCCCCAGTGGACAATGCACAGACAAAGCTGAGCTGACAGTGCTCTCCCCTTTTTTATTTCCCTCTGATTTAAACAAGGATACTCCACAGCCAGCTCAAAAAAACCACAAACAAAACAACAGCAAAAAAAAAAAACCCTGACAAAACACCACCAAACTAAAAAAAACTCAACGAAAAAAACTCCCCCAAAAACCACAACAAAAACCTAAACCCACCCAAAAGTGTTTAGAAATACCTAACAAGTCCTGAAATACAGAAATGTCAAGGCTAAAGAAAAATAGAGAGGGAAGATCTCCTGGGAAGGTATTTAAAATATTTAGGACATTTTAAAAACTCCTTGTTTTTTCAGTTCAGTGAATCTTCCCTGGCAAGATCAGCTCCTACTTAGGGAAAAGTGTGAATCGTGGTTATTTCTTCAAAGGTAACCTTTCCCACTAATATAAAAACCCTCAAAACTAAATAAAGTATTTCAGAATTTTAAAGACTGACTTAGTTTAGGTTTTGTTTCCTTGCTCTTCTTTCTCCCATTTAACACAGAACATTTATTCTTGTCCTTTCCAAAAGTGGACAAACAGGCCATTAAGGGTGTTATCCAAGCCTTGGATCCTACTGCTGATTGTCTGCCTGTTTTACAAGGCAGCCAGGACACCAGCTTAACCTGGGAAGTCAAAAAATACATGGGCATGGTGTGAATGACCTCAGAACCCAGCTACGTTTCCTAGATCACTAAACAGCTTTTGAAACAAGCAATACCTTTAAGTCTTCCATGGTTATTTTGGTTGTCTTAAAATGTATTCATTTTGACTTGAGTGAATAAATAATTCTCTATTTACCAGCAACATTTTCTTTATGTTCTCTATACCTGCTGCGTGTAATCTTCTGCATGTTGAGATAATGTTATCCTAACATCTTCAGGAACTGGCAACCCTGTGACAGAGACACTCTGCCCGATTCATGGTGAACAGGAAGAGTAGATAATTATGGTGGGAAATCAAATTGCTTCCTTCATCTAACAGCTTTGGTTGCTCACAAGTATTAATATCCCAGTTACACTTTCCATTCCAGCACTAGCAATCAGAGACTGGGCCTTCTAAGTTTCTGCATCTCTTTTACTCCTAAAACCCCTGATTGTAACAAATTTCATTCAAAATTCTTCCTTTTACAAGCTCCTGCACTTTTTTTCAAATATATGGCATCAAATTATTCAACTTATCAGATTGGATGACATCTACACTATACACACAATTTCTTTGGCCACCCAATCCCTAAGCTTGGTGACTTAACAGAGGTGCCAGATTTCCTTTGTCATTGCAGTTTTCCTTTCTATGAAATTTGAATTCCCTTCTCATAATAATAATTGTAAAGAAATCGCATGCTTTGATCCCAAGAACAAATTTTCAGTGACCATGGAAAAAATTTGGGCAAGTGACAGGTGTAAAGGCAAAGAATCTTTACAGTGGTAAGAAGCACCCATTGCACTTACCTGCCTGAAAAAGTACTGTGTTGTTATAGCAAAGACATCAAAGCCACAGCTGGCCCTTTTAAGCTCATCTTGGATATTGATTAACTGCCGGGACTGCTCATCACACTTTTCCTTCAGTTTCTGAACCAACTGCTTTTCTGTGTCTCGCCCCTCTCCTGGTTTGGGGGAGAATCCATTCTTTGGGGTGGCTGGCCTTTGCCTGGAATGTCCTGCAAAGGAGGGGGCAAGAAAAGACCATTCAGATCACATAGTTTACATGTACAGACATGACCTTTATGTGTTTCTATGGCCTCTGGGACTCATCCCTACAAAAGAAAAAAGGTCTGTAGCACTCACACAGAACTTCCAGTCTTTAAAAAAAAAACAAAAACAAAACCAACAACAACAACAACAACAAAAACAAAAAAAACAACAACAACAAAAAAAAACCCCAAAAAAACCCAAAAGCATAGTGAAATATGTTTCTTTAGGGGCCAAAGCTCAAAGCTTTATAACAGTCATCTCACCTCAGGCTCTGAGCCTGAAAGTCTTCTACAAGTTGAGGAGAGCTGTCCTAAGAGCGTATCACTGAGAACTGAGGTTGTTGGAGGAAGGAAGCACTTCACCTCTGCTAGACATCTACAAGAAACAGAGGTCTGCATCTCTGCATCTCTCTTGAATGGCAGTGAGAGAAATGGGCACTTCCAGGTCACGATTCATCTTATTGATGCTGTGGAAAACAGCTAGGTGACATTTCTACTCTACACATGGTTTCTTTGTTCACGTGAACCCCAGCCTGGTGACTCGACAGAGGTGCCAGTTTTCCTTTGCAGATTTCATTTTGCCTCTACACAGGACAATGTGGGGCTGGAGTTGTCCCTCCCTGAATGCAAACATAGCATGGATTGCTTGCTACTGAGATATCATTTTTTATCTACAATAGTGCAGTCTACCTTGAGAGTTCCCCTTGCTCTCACCTTTACAACGTGTCCAAAATTGCAGCATCTAGGAGATACATACTGAAGTGCCACCAAGTGCCACACAATGCACAAGAGTTACATCACTGGCTCTGCGTGCCTGCTCTCTCAGCATCTTTGATCACACCAGAATCACTTCATGATTTGCCTGCAGAAACAGGCCCAGACAGACTCTGGCTCCTCTGAGGTGCTCCAGGTTGGCTTGAAGCAAGCCTGATGCTGTACAAAGATGTGAAAGCACTCGTGTAGCTTGTGTTTAGGGTATAGTGTCATATTTGTATCAATAGCACCAGAACTGAAGCTTACTCATGATAAGCCACTTCAGGAAAGTGGGACTTTTTTCCTAAGTTCACATCCTGCTTGAGTCAACTATCCATTTCTGTGGATATACCCAGTTATAAGGATGAAGCAAGAAGGGGCAGTGTTCTGGTGGTATCAGGCTGCTCAAGCCACTGCTTGGAAAATCTGTCTTTACTTTCTTTGCTTTCTGAGGACTCTCCTCTGCAAACATTTATGGCCAGCTGGGCATCACCTTTGCACAGCTTAGTGACTTTTCTTGCTACCCTCAGTCTTTCTTGCTATCCTTTTGCTACCCCTCAGCTGATGGTCTTTAGCTCATTCCTGAATGCTGGCCAGGAACCTCCAGTCCTCAACAGATCCTCCCATTATCCTCCAGCTTTTACCCTAGAAGCTGAAGTCAGTAAGAAAGAGGGAGAAAATACGAGTCAGACACCTTTGTCCCATGTGTTACTAGAGATGGTGGATATGGGTCTGGAACATTTCTGTGTTAGTAGAAAAGGTTGTGTGTGCAATAATATGATAAAAGGGGACAGTTTGTAGTTTCATAGTTTTGTAGTATCCAGTTCTTGAAAACAATACAGAAACCATGCCTACAACCAGTCTTCAGCAATCAGTGTAATAGGAGACAGTCTTCTGCCATGAATACTACCTGTTCCTTTCCTAAAAAGCCAAAGAATCCTTCCACAGAGATGGCTCTGATGGTATGAATCTGAGCCAATTTGTAAAGTAGAGCATTACAAATTCCAGAGGTAATTTTGTCAGACATGCTTTAGATCTTTTAGATCTTCAAGGCTGTGGTCTGAGTGTGCAAATAGATCCTAAGGGCAGTTTTATGACATCAGGCAGTGGAACAGAATGGCTTCCCCAGAGCAATACCCCAGGAGTGCATTCCTACTTTTTCAGATCCCCAGCTTGTGTGGAGCCATTGGGAGCATATCTTCTATCTTGCTCAGCTACATCCTGGCTCCAGGCTAAGCTAACAGGGTGCCAGCTCCAGCAGAGATGCTCCCTCATGTCTTCAAGCATCTCGTGGTGCAACTGTAAAGAGCCATGAGTGCAAAAACCCCTTTGAAACTCTTTGTGTCCATGACTTGCATTTGTGACCAAGAAAAATATGTTGTGCAGTGTCAAGACTAATGCCATATTGTTGGAAGACCCAAATAATACAGCACAAGGAGTTTTTGTCATTAGGAGAGTTCAAGCAGGATAGCTATTGCCCTCTATCCATTTTTATGTCACTTAAAGCCTGTTAACTTTTTTGTGCAATAATAAGAAAATACAGACTGTTCCATTCATACCTCTTAGCTGTGCAGTAGGTAATACCACAAAAGAAGAAACTCATAACAGCAAGAGCCATAAATATCTGTCTTTTTAGTATAAAAATCTTGGGTTATTCAAGCAAGACAGTGATGTTACAACAGAAGGCTTAGGAAGAAGTGTAGGGGAAAGCCCTTGAAATCAGTTCAGTCTTTAATTAAAACAGAAATCTGTCAGGTTGCTTAGTCTTACATCTTTCTAGCCTTCCTGTTCACAGGAAGATTTGAAGTGCACATCTCTGTGTTGTCCTTGTCAGTATTATAAGCTGTCCTTGTAAATTAAATGGTGCTATTCTCCTCAGGGATAAATCTGAATTTCTCGGTTCATTTGGGTCTGAAAGGCAGCTTACTAAGCTTATTCTGCCATTGATGTCTCTCTTCTGTTGCTCTGCACAAAACAGGGTATGTATTAATGATGCTGGCCCTTTTCCTCATGTCCTTTTTGCTGATGGGGGGACCAGAGGGGCAGACCCAGTGGGTGCTGAAATCATTGTACCCCTTTGATCCTCTTCAAAACTCCTAAGTCTTTTTTATCTATGTGAGTGTTTGAACTAGGGAGACATAACAAGTATATACTCATAATTAACACTGTCCATGAGGATTTAGATGGGGAATGCAATTTATTCGCCTTTTCACTGTCCAATTTCCAATATTTTCGTAAGGAAAGTGAACAAATTACTTAGAGACAATTGTTATCAAGCATTCTGTGGAGTGACAGATGCCAGAAGCTGCTGGCTCCACTCTAAAATGGAGTGGAAGGAGAGCACCTCCCTCTATGGACACCTGTTCCTCTACACAGATCTCAGGAACAGTATTGCATCAAAGGATAAAACTGAGATTACTGCAAGACTCTGCATCTCAAAACTCCCTTGCAAGTCTTCAGAGTCAAAGTTCAAAAAATTTGTGTCCAACAGTCAAAAACCAGCACTGTTTAAAAGGAACTGAATGTGAGAAGGCCAGTAACAGAGGCAAATACAGCCTAGAAACAGCACTCAGAAATTTTGGAACCTGTTCCATGGCCAGATGTAGCTGTGGTGAAATGACCTGTGAGACACCTTCTCTCCCATCAAAAAGTGTAAATGATGCAGAGGCTTGTGATTCTGATGGAGGAAAATCTGTGACTGCCCCTTAGCATCAGCTACACTGCATGTCCTCCTCAAAGGCTGCTTTGAGTATTTTTTGAAATTGTTAAGTAAGTGAAAAAATTGTCATTATTGCTTTGTTATTGCTGAACTTATTTCAAAGAATGCCAAAGGCTACTCTAAAAAAATAAATGAAGATGAGGTTTATTTTCCTACTTGATCCTTAGAGTGATAAAGGAATTTACATTGGCTAAATTGCAGACAAGCAAGCTGAACAAATTTTTAATCAGCCTGATGGATGGAGATCAGTTACTCAACCTCTCCCAAGAATGAAGAAACCTTTGAGGCCTCATGAATTGGATATGCCAAAACTTTAGACCTTGAAAACTATTAAATCACCCATGGAGAGGCAGACCTCCTTAAGACAATACAAATACACTGTACAAATATTCCAGTGTTCCATTTTGCTTTGTAATCCTAGTGGAAGCAAATCAGCTGAGCTGTAACACGCTGCTACAGCCACAATCAGTGTTGGTGCTTAAAGTGGACTCCCACCGTTATAAACACCGGCGAGCTTCTGGTCTGGCACTCTCTGCAACAAATTCTTTGGATCTCTCTGTGGTCTCACCAGGTGCAAAATAGCCTGTAAATTATATGACTCAGAGGACAGCGTTAAGTGCATCTTTTTACTCCAGCATCTTTGTAAGGAGAAGAATTTTGTGTCCTGTTGGTGCCTGGGAAGATTAAATTTAACCTTCCATTTTATTGATTTTATTGGTTGAGAAGAAGAAGAATAAAGATTGAATTTAATAATAATGGACAAACTCTTGGTGCAAGTTATAGGAGCTGGAAAGCTCTTCTACATTATTTATATTCTGCCACCAAATGGAGCAACATGGGGTTCTATCCCCCACAGTTATAACTTAAGTATCACATAGCTGTAGAGATGACATTTTAAGTATTCAAGCAGAGTCTTAAAAATGAGGTAACAGAAGATAAACTGCAAGCACAATGAAATCAGTGGGGCCATGCACACTCATTTCAGAAGCATTTAGATCAAGCAAAGGCCAGCCTCACAAAAGTCTTTAGGCACATTTATTAATGTACACTCAGTAGACATAAATAGAAACAAGTTCTCTTTGTTTTAGTAAGTAAAGAAAGGCATTCTTCAGAAATGTTAAAACCATGCGTTTGTGCCCAATATTGAGGTATAAGTTGATATTATCCCAATAGCACTTTGGAGGCTTTTTCTATAGATAGTCCCTTTTCCAGTTATGGACAGAAATACCCCAGGAAATTTAGTGCCTCTGCATAGAAGTAAGAGTAGATTCTGAGCCATACATTATCACTCCAGGCAATTCTCTGAGATGTTTTTTATTTTGCTATATGTATCTGTCCTCTTCTTATGTAAGAAAATTGTAATGATTAAAAAAAAATTCCTCTGCCCTTAAACATGTAATAGCAACAACTCTTTGCTTTGAAAGAGAGATGATTGCATGGTTATAACAAAGAGAACAAAAGTCTATTCAGCTCATGCATTGGTATGATAAAGCCTGCTGTAGCCAGCTTAATGAACCTTGGACACAATCAATCCTCACTTAACAATAGTAGGTCTCAGATTTGAGTGTGTTAACAAGAGATGCAAAGTCAACAAGTTTAAATCTTCCCTGAAACACTGCTTTCAGGTTCATAAATACCTGGTGAATGGAGTTTTGTGGCTGTAACTGCTGATTTCTTAGGGGATGAGGCAACTGGTCTGCTAGCATCCTGATCTTTTTGCACTTCTTTCTTCACACCTGTTTTAGGAAAAAAAAAAATCAAAGGTAGAAAGACGCCTGGTTTATAATTCTGTTCATAATATGCAGAACTGTGTCACTAAGATACACATCAAAATGGCAAAATGTATTTCACCAATCCATGTCCTGGGCTCTGCGCAGAATGATGCTACACAGCACTTCTGGGTTGGATGCCAACCTGACGTGTCTGCAACCACGACTGTATACATGCAGCTGAGATGCATGCACAGCACTGAGGAAGGACAGAAGGCCTTACACACTACCTTGGCTTTCCAGTCATCTGCACCATGACAAATGCCATTAAGGCACAAACAGCTACACAGGCAACCCATCCTATCTGTTCTGAGTGCTGTGTTCTGTCTCTTCACCTTGCTGTGCAACCTCATTCTGGGCTGCAGGAGAAACAGAATAGGACTGTGCAAAGCTGACTGAAATTACCTGCAAGTCCCTGCCCTGTCACCTTTTCCACAGGTAAGGAAGCTGCCTTTTCTGGAGACCAGCTTTCCAAGGTGGTCTCATGTGGTGAAGAGAGAGGCCAGGACAGAAGCAGGCAGGATGTGCCAGAGCTGGGCTGGATGTGGCTGCCTGGACACGAGCGTGGGTCTCTGTCTGTGCAGTAAGCCAGGCAGGGACAGAGCTGGGCAAGCACATTCAGGGCACAAACCTACAAGACACTGTGCCAGTGTGGGATGAACCAGGGCATGGAATATTTCTGAGAGAGGCAGCTCCGTGTCTGTTGCTATGCGTCCCACCAGTGGAGCTCTCTGCTCAGGGCCTCGGGACGGTCTGCCAGCTGTCAGAGCCCTGCAGCCAGACACTGCCTCTGCACCAGGGAGACACGACTGCCTCTGAAAGCCAGAGGGGCCACCCAAGCTCAGCTCCTCCTGCCCACCCACGGCTCCCATCAAAATAGCTGTGGGGACCATGCTGAGTGCAGCAACATGAGGTCCTGCCCTGCTCCTTTGGCCATGGTGTGACAGTCACAGGATCTCAAGCAGAAATTTTTCATCAAAGAAGTAAGGAGAAAGAGTAATAAAAAGCAAACCCCAGGGACAATAATGTAGTTTCCTGTTTGCTTTCCTTTTTTTAACCATTAGAGTTTATTGAGGGTTGCATTTTAGTCTGAAGGGCTGTGTCACAGCACCTGGATACACAGGAAAAACAGAGAGATTTGAGGCAAATTACTTGCTTTAGAGGGAAAAAAAAAGTTTGCCTTATTGACTTTCCCCTCTCTTATGAGTATATTCACAGATATCTTACAGGAAAATGCCCCACTGAATCTGAAGTATCTGAAGCAAGAAAAAAAAATCAGATTTTCTTGGTGCTGCCTAATGACAGACACAGTCCAAAAGCTAACACTATCTTCCACTTTGCTTAATACAAATGTGACCTGGCTCTTTCAACAATGGAAAAAAATGATAATTTTATATGGGGATCATAATCTTGAGGGACGCCTACTGCTTTACTAGTTTTCTGCTCCCTCCAAAGCCACACCTAGTCACAGCTGCAGTATATATGCGTGTATTTCTGATGCATCTTTCACCCTTCCACTTCTGCCTGCATCAGGACTTGCATGCAGAGAGCTGCAGACACAGCATTTGCCATGCACCAGAAGCTGAGCTGCATAATTCCTAGCACTGTCTCTCAGCATTTGCTTGCAGAGTGCTTCTGGAAACAGCACATGCACCTGCATCTCCAGCTGTTTGTGGTAGGGAAGCATGGGACAAGTTCTAAAACCCCCTTTGACTCTCTTCCACTGTTCATAGGCAAATCACACCATCAGCTGTCAGGGCTTGTAAAGACTGAACACTTGCTCATACCTTTACTTTTGTCCATCTCCATTTTCTCTGCTGTTCATAAATGCAACACGTTGAGGCTAAGATTCTAATTTGTGATTAATACTTTTCACAGTGAGGTGACTGAAGATGAAAATTGCCTGTACCTGCCCCCTATTACACTGTACTTTACTACAGAGTAGGACATAAAGTAAGTTTATGGTGCCTTTTCATTACTAAGGAACAACCTGAGCTAGCAGCTATGAGACAAAACCAGGGCTTGTTTTATAAGACATAGTTTATATAGTTATAGATTCAAGCATCAGGTAATAAGGCATTGGCTTTTCTGGGGCTTTCAAAATAAAAATATAATGTACAAATGGGCCATATACAGAGCTCCTCCATAAATATTGCTATGCCAGATGCCAAACACAGACAACAGTAGAGAAAAGTGTGTGCTTTCCTTATGCTTTCCTTAGGTATGTAAATAATTAACTGCTTTTGGTTTTGAGACATTTTCAATGAGGAACACGTGGGGGATTCACTCAGCCTCTTGACCTTAAGCACAAAACAAGAATCAATTGCCCAATTAGAGCTTAGTTGAAAGAAAACGGAGCAAAGAAGCCCAGGATTTTGCAGAGGGCAGGCCAGGGTCTGTGCAGAGCATGGGAGCTGCGTACAGGTGCTGCCCTTAGGTGCACCTGCATGGGGGATGCTGGCTTCCCAAAGTGGAAGATCAGCAGGAAGAAGGTGCAAACAGATATCTGGGCAAGGAAAGATAAATAGAACTAATAACGAGGAAGATCAGTGCCCTTGTTCAGTCTGAAAGACTGGGAGAGCTCCGGAGGTGTGGTGGGGCAGCGGTGCAGCAGGCGGGCGAGGGAGCAGGGTTGTGCCGCAAGGGGAGAGCCAGAGCCCAGCACAGCCTGGCTGGGAAGGGCACAGGGACACGTGGAGCTAGCAGTTATCCAACTTCTCCTTCACAAGTAGGAGGGCCCTGGTGGCCTCTCTGTGGCCCTCCTTAGAGGAGAGGGATTTAGAAAGCACACAGCAGGCAAAAGGAAGGACGGTCTGCGGGAGCAAACTGTTATCGTTTTGCTAAGCTCATCACCCACAGGGAAATTTTAGGGGAAGAGCCATCCCTGGCATCAGACCTCATATAAGGGCTTGAGCGGAATGCTTTTCTAAAAATGGGGCTTGTTCTTGTCTTTTGAAACAACAGCTGCTAGCTGGTTCAAAGAGAAACATTCAGAAAACATGTTGATTTCCTGCAGGGAAAATAAATCTTTAGATTACAAGTGTTTGGGCCCAGATTTTGTCATTTCACAGAAATATAGAATTTCAAGTTCAAAATATCTGAGGGAGAGCACTGGTGTAGTAATTAGCATAATGTGCAGTAGCACAGAGTATGGTGCAGCAGGAGGTTATAAAGCTTGATCCTTTCTAGCTTGAAGTGTATGAAAAGTAATTCAAAGACTAAAATGCACAAAAAAAGGTCTGATGCTCCAGGGTATCTCAGGAAACAAGAAAAACATTATTCAGTTGTTATTACAGGCCTGAAGATGAGTAAAACCTCAAATCATATTCTGCCATATATATTTTGAAATGTCAAAAGGTGTTATGATTTTCTTTAAATTCATCTTTTATAATGTGTATTAAGTCTGATCTGGAACAAAATTTATTCAAATTCTTAATGTTATTGCCCACAGACTGGAAATATGGAATTCCACTTAGCTCTGTGTTAAATGCCTGTGCATTAGCCTTATTCCTGCATAATCAGGGCTTTTAGCACTGAGCTTCCTAGCAAAAAGCTCCTGGTATCTCAGGAACTACCACTGACTTCCAGGCTTTCAGGAACACCTTCCAAGGCTCTGCCACCTCCTACCACTGACAGAGCTCCTGCAATGAGGTTCCTGGTAGCCAGTAATCAAAGCTACAAAGTACTAATTTTTATATGAATCTATATTCCATTTAAGGTTAGAAATCTCTCAACATTTCCCCTCTTTTAAAAGCTATACTTGTGTAAAGAAAGGGATATTTCAGGCCATAAGAGTACAATGAGCATAAATATTTGTTTGTCTTCTCTGCTAGTGTGCTTACAACATTTTCTTTTGAAAAAGGCCTCTAAACACACAGTTCTGTAAAGGTATTTATATTTCCTAATTATTACACACAGCCTGCTCCAAATGAAACAAAAGGAGCAAATGCAAAATAATTAGAAACACGAGGCAAAACATTCCAGAAATCACTTAGAAAAATAGCAGACAAACTATGCCACTTCTCCATTCCCCCAGCAGTGCTGAATGCTAGGAAGCAGAGCAAAAGACACCTTATCCAAGACATCTCCTCAAGCCCTGCAGAATCAGCACTTGTATTTGCCTGTACATTTCTGAGTCTTCAAAAGCCACTATACTGGGATAGGCTTCAATTTGCTTTCATACTTCAGACTGAACGCAAGTTAACAAATTGTACATTGAGTATTTCTTCCAAAACAAATCCTAACATGCTGCAGACATCATTAACAATTCAATGGGAGTAACTGCATTCAGAAGGATTCCAACTGTTCTCAGGAGTATTTTATAAGTTAACTAATGCAGTTTACAAAAAAAAACCCAAAAAAAAACAAACCCAAGGAAATATCTTCAGTCACTCACAGACACAGGGAGCCCCTCGGAGCTTCCTTCTGCCTTTCCCCCTGATACCCACAACTAGTCATGTCCTTGGTGAGTAATGACACATCCCTGCATGCATTGTTTGAGACAAAATGAGCAAAGCTGGAAATATGATGGATTTCTGTAGAATGAGAGCAGTCTAATTCTCTCTAGAGACTCTCTACTTCAGCTGTGATCTATGAGACACTGAACGACTGAATAAAGAAGGAGATGTGGAAGAAAGACCATGTACTTCTTGAAGTAAAAACTGCTAATGCTTGTGCTTTTCCCTTTGTGTTTGTTTCAAATTTGAAGTCAATATGATAAGAAAAAAGGATAACAACTATTTAATTGTCTTGTCTGAAAACAGTTGCCTTGTATTAAAATAACAAAGTCTCTTTAGCTGGTGTTTAAAAAAATAAAGGAAAAGATACACCTGGTAAAACAAATAATTCTTTGGACTGAATAGAAAATCTCAGGGTAATTCAGAACATCCAACATTAGTTGAAAAGTTAAAACAACTACTCCTCTTTCTGCCATTTTGCATGGATCCTATGGCATTTTATTGTCTCCTCCTGTTTAAGGTTGAAATTTCAAACCAAGACACTTCCTCACACAGCTGTGCTATGGCATGTTTCAGAGAGGTTCCCAGAAGAAAGGTGGGAAAACTTGCAGATGAACTCCCACTTCCACCCGCAAGGAAGTGCTGCACATCCCAGTGTTCAGTACAGGAGCAATATGATGTAACGCACTGCACACTGCTATTCAGCTTGGAGGGGAAAGTGTTTGCAAGGGGGAACAAAGCAGCAGCAGACTCTTCTCCCTTCATCCCTGCAAGAGTGCTGGTGCTCACCCTTCCCCCCTCAGGTGACCTCAGCTCATCCCTCTCCCTCCTGCTGACGTTGTGCTGTCTGGATTTTGCAGAATCTGATCAAAAAAAAGCACATTTTACACTATAAGATTGCTGGTGAGAGCTGAGATAACACTGGCCTCCTATTTTTCATCTTGACTGATTGCATTTAACAGCCTGTCCTGTTATATATGATTTACTGGTACTTGTAGAAGCACAGGAATTGACTGGGTGAATTTTTTTGAACAGTGCTTTTGATAGTCTTTAATTTAGGGGGGCAAGTAGGAACAACCTGTTCAAATTAATTTTTTATTGCCACTGTCATTGCACTCAAATTAGGGTATTTCTTAAGCATGACAACAGTCATTAAATAATAACCAAGTAGAAACAGGAATCCTATAACACACACCCCTCAAAATCCATAACAGGACATAGAAAAAATAAAATCCCACAGCTCTCTGATTTCATAGACAGCTGGGTGGCAGATCCAGCCTGGTGGACAGAACTGAGTATCTGAACATTGCCTTCTGCAGATAATCTCCCATTTTAAGGGAAATTTAAACCAGAAAATTCATATATGTATGCTTCAAGTACTGTATATTTTAATCAACATCTGTGGGAAGAGGAAGCTTATATGAATTTCAGAGCTAGATTATAGTTGCAAAGTTTCTGGTGGAGAGCTGCTTTCACCTATCATTAAACAAAATATGAAGCAATATAGAAATGGTAAGTATTAGTTAGGTTATGACTGCACTTCCCAAAGTAGCTAATATATGTAAGTGAAAGTAAAAGACCTCTCTTTTTTTAGTCAAGTCTATGCTTTCTTTTCCCTGTTCTATAAATTGACAGACATGTAAATATAAAAAGGGCTGTGCAATACACTAAAACCCAATTAAGTGCACTCATTTCACAGAGCAGTTGAAAGGCCATCAGTTCATGCCTGCAAAACAATTTGCATGACAACGACCTTCCACTGCAATTGTCCCATGCCACAATTCTTTTTTGATCATCTGAAGCACAGCATCATCTGCTCCACAGCTAAAGGAGTCCATTTTCATTAATTTTGGTTTTTTTATTCCCTACAGTCCAATTTATTTCACAAGTACTTTTAGTGAAATATCAGGAATACAATCACTCTTGAGCTGTTGTGTCTAGTTTTTTTTAAGGGAAAATTTACAGTTCATGTGGTCTTCTCAAGAAACACCTAATACATGAAATCTTTAATGTGATTTTTGGTGGCTATTTTTGATTCATTAATATAGGTAGATGTTTTCATTTGTGAATTAATTTACCATTCATACATAGATAAAATTATGTATATCTCTGAAATACAAAGGCAATTTTTACATTACCTGATATTGCACTCTTTCAGAAATATTATTTATATTTAAATTACTGCCATCCTCCTTGTGAAATACTTTTCTCCTTCCTCTCATAAAGTATGCTGTGTGCAATACACGTAGTGCCTGTGCTCCTCAGCTGTAACTGTGGAGTGTTCTAAGCACTTCAGTTTACTAATGTCTTGCACAGGAGGTTGGTCAGATGCTAAATATATTGCATTTGATGCATATATATATGCAACATCAAGCCTATAGAAATCACTGTCCAAAGGATACCTAAACAGAAAAATTTACATTCTGTAGGTATCTCTATCACATTAGGATCTATACCCAGTGTTCATATGCTATTGCAAGAGTGGCAAGATTAGAACTGCCAAAAAAGACCTTGCCTTCATAATTTCTTTGATTTATTTCAACCTTTGCTCCTATCAGATACTTAGCATTTTGAGGGAGCATGACACTCTTTTAATTAAAAAAAATAAAATTTAAAATCATTAATTGCTGCTAACTTGGCTCATAAAAAATTAAACCAGAACACTGGACTATCATACTTTCTTTTGCTTCTGTCTGTTGTGTATAATAACAGCTTCCTAAACTTGTCAGCTACTCCTGTTCACCAACTGTGTCTGACTGTCTGCATAACACAGGCAGGTAACCCTACTTCCATGTTTAGCTTCCTTCCAGAATAAATCAGGCAAGTTTATGACATGGTAATTGCTGAGTTATCCTTTCATCCTTACCTTGACCCATGGGTCTTTTATTATATTTCTCTCCCTCCATCTGGTTGGTTTGGTGGGGACCTGGTGATCAGCCAAGTTCAAACCACTACATCATGTTAATCTGACTTGAAACCAGGGGACAAGAACTAGCAATGCATAAAGTCTTTGTGTCATATTTTGCACTGACTTTTCCTTCCCAGCTCCATTTGCAATGTGTTATCAAACCCAATGGAACTTACATAGAGATGAAACGCTGTTGAGTAAGAACCAGCCTGGATAAAATTATTTCTTTTGGAATCTAAACTGTCAGATCTAATCTGAACTTGATGGAACTGGTCATTTGAGACATAACTGAATTGAACAGAAGGAGAGTTTAGGCACGGAAACAACCTGGAAACAACACTAAGAGTTTTTTGCTTTGATTGCTTGCCTCCTTCTGCCTCTCTGAGTAAAAAAACCAAAAGATTATTTAAACCTAGAGGCCAATATCCTCATCACTGCAAACATACCTAGCAATGAATTATCCGCTTGATGGAATGCTTTGGTCTCTAAAGCAACACAATGTTTTCAAAAAGCTGTTTGTTGAGAACCAACAATATATACACTAAATCTCTGGCATGGGTAGTTAGGGACAGTAAATGCCTTCAATTCTTCACATAACTCAGAAAATGAGATTATAGCTGTGCTGTTGACTGCATTCAAAAGGGTCTACGGTAAATGGAGTCCAAATCAGCACACCAGCAATGGGCTCTAGGATGGCATGAAAATTAATGAAAAGCAAGCAGTAAAACAGCATCACAGCAAGGTTTCTGCATTTCTTGGCCTAAGGCAGGTGGTGTTTGAAGCTTGGAGCACTTACCAGCGGGTGCTGTGGCTGTTTTTGGCGCTGGCAGTAAGCTCCTGCGTGGTGTCGCTGTGCTGCTCGATACCTGTGCTGTGCCTTTGCTGCTCCCCTTGGGAGCATCCTTAGAAGGTGCAGGTGCCCTAGGGGTGGTCTGCTCTTCATTTCCAAAGCTGGAACCTGCAGGAGACCGGAATTGCACTAATTATAAGTCCATAAAAAATGTATGTGAACTGTGGCATACAGACCAAACTTCTATCAGCAATTATAATCCACAGCGACACGTTCTCCCTGCAGCTTGGGCTAAGTGACATGGACTTTCTCCACTATAAACCCTCAGGCAGAAGTAAAGAGTTCCCAACAACTTACTTAAATGCTAAGTCTTGGCAGCTGTTACAGTCTGGTTCCAACAGGAAATTAAGACCTGTTTGTCTGCCTCTGTGAAGGTATGTGGCTACAACACTCATAAAGAAACCGTGGAATTCCTAAATATACGGGTGGATGAGTTTATGGTTTTGTAGCTGCTGGAGGAGCCACACCAAAAACTCATCCTGTCACTTGGAAGCTGCTGATGTTCGAAATAGAGGGGAATAGCAGGGCTCAGTGGTACAAAGTTTTCAGGTGGAGATTTCCCACAAAGAATCCCTCAGATCACACTCAGACATTTGAATAATAAGATAAAGAACAAGGAAAAAATTCGGCCTTAACTCTCACATCCACTTCAGTCATATTCTCATAACAAATATTAGCTTGCCAAGTTTTCCACCTTAAATTGACCTCTTTCAAAACTTTAAATGGGTTTGGTGTCCTCCTGCATTTGCCATCTACAGAATAATGACATCCTAGATTCCTTGTAGACATAAGGAAAAAAATATTTTCTTAACATTTGAGAAAGGCAGAGTTGGAGTGTTGTTTTACCTATCTGTCTACAAGGCCTAAGAGGAGCAAAAGATTACAGCAGATCTGGACTTAAACATTTGCAGAAGAATGAACATTTTGTTTGAAAAAACTAGTGGAGATGGTGCAAGAAATGCAAAAGATGTCAGAAAAAGCCTATAATTTTTATTTCAATTGTTTTACACAGATGCAATATAATATTGGTTAGGTACTGCCTGCAGGAAAATGATAGCATTATCTTAATAACTGGCACATCTAAGTCTCCAATATTTTTAAGATGTAGGCTTCTTGAAAATGTGCAAGTAAAGAAGAGATTTCATTTTTGCCTTTATTACTGAAAATCTACTAGAGGAATAAAAAGCAGGTTGGAAAAGAAAACCCTCTTTCTGATAAAGGCAGAATATCCCTTTTGGCTCTGAAAAAACAGCTTTAAGTATTGCTGTGTCTTTGAGGCTGCTTGCATACACCTCTTAATTTAAAGTGTGTATCTGCATTATAAATGGACTTCTACAAGCATATGTGACCTTTCCCAAGCCCCACTGAAAACTCAAAACAGTGTAGTGTACTCCACACAGGAAGAAAAAGACCTGAAGCATTTGTCACCTTTACACATCTCTGCACATAACAAACAATCCCTCAGCACATCAGGTGGGTGTTGAATAGCCAAACTGCATGCATTTTTCACCTGTGTAACAAACATTTAAGTTTATGTGCTGAATTTACTGTGACGAAACATTGCTGACTTCCATAAAGTCACAACAGCACAAAATCTGGCCCAACCTAGCCCCATCCCTTCTGCAGCTGTGCATGAGGGCATCTCTTCTGCCAGGTGCCAGGGGGATGCTGCAGCATGTGTGTGTCCACCTCAGGCTGTCTGCACCTCATCCCTGAAGCTGTTCCTGAAGTGGTCTCATATATATGCTTACCCTGTCAGCTTGGGTAACGTAACTTGTAGAAATCTTTTTTCTTTCTTCAGCTATTTTTTATAAGTTTCCATTGCAGAAGCACTAACCTTGAAGAGTAAATTATTCTCATTATTTGCAGAGAAATAGAGTTCAAGTGTTCTTTAATGGGAACCCTTTATTCTCAATTTCAACATTCATTCACTGAGGAGTGAGGGAAGAAGTGTGAGGCTGAGAGGGAGCAGGTATTCCCTACGGAGCCTGGGGAAGACCATGGGGAATTCCAGAAGGAATTTCCCTGCAGCTTGTAGGGAGGACCCTGATGGAGCAGATATTCACACTCCACACTGGCACAGGTGGACATGGCCCAAAGGAAGCTGCATCCATGGAGAGCCCTCACAGGAGCAAGGCCCTGGAAGAAGCTGTGGGCCTGCACATGAGAACCATGCCACAGTAGGTTTATCCTGAGGGACAGCAGCCCTGGGTAAAGACCCATGCAGGAGCAGGAAGAAGTGTGAGATGGAAGAAATGGCAGAGAGGAACTGAAAGGGACTGACTGCAACCCCCATTCTCCTCCCACTGTCCTGCTCAGTGGGAATATGGGATGGAGGAGGTAGAGGAATTGGGAAGAGAAAGGTGATGCTGAGAACGTAAAGAAGCGGTGGGGAAAGCTATTTTAGTTTTTTGCTTTGTCTTTGTTTCACACCTTTCAACTCTATTTTAATTGTTAACATATTAAATAATCTTTTCCAAGTCAATTATTTTTGTCTGTGACAGCAATTGGTAAGTCATCTCCATGTGTTTACCTGTGGTCTTATTCACCTTATTTTCTTTCCTGTCCTGCACAGGAGGTGAGACAGCGAGACAGTGACAAGGTGGGTGCCTGGCAGCCAGCTAAGGCACTACAGCAATATCAGGACACCCAGGATTTGCTGAGATAAGGTCAATGTTTCTCTTAAGAGACATTGTCTCTCACTTTGCTCTTCACTCATAGATGGAGACTGGAAAGAGACAGTGGGATACAACACATGTGTGTATAATATGCCCCAAAAAGCAAATGTTTGCCGCTTCCATGGATATCACTAAGGCAGCCTTTGGTTCCCCAGGAGCAGAGGTAGGTGAGTTTCACCTTGCTGCACATAGGTTCCAGAGCTCAAACAGGATTCAAAGAAGAAATTAAATTAAGGACCTAGGAGAATACATATTTCTCATGATCTAGGAGAAAGATAAAGTTTTTTATTTACTTCAAGGAATCAACTTATAGGAAAATCAGAAAGATTATTCATCAGATGGTCCATCTGTTAGTACCTCATGAAATAATGCCTCCCACTATTATCTGCAGCAGGTGAATCAGTAGCATCTGCCTTTCCATGATACAACATCTTATTTTCCAGTAAAAGCCTGTACAAAAACATCAGATGTGCAGTGGGTGAACAGTTTCCAGGTGACCACATCCTTTGCTGTATTGTATCTCTGCCCTCCTACTCCTCTACTTTGGCATCCTGTCCAAACCAGGAGAGGCTCTGCCTGCCTTTAAGCACCTGGTGAGTCGTTTGGGGGCTGCTACATAAAAGGCCCTGCATTTTTGCAGATTCTGTGCTCTATGAGGAGCAGCACTGCTGACTCTGCAGTAGAGTGTTTAACAGGCTATTAACAATCTGCTGGGGCTGAAGGCCTTCAGCCTCACTTTTATCATCATTATGAGCCCCAAGGAATCCTACTCTTCTGCTTCTGAGAAAAAAAAAAATATCGAAAAGAAGAACATTCCTTTGAAGACTTGCAGTTACTTTGGAAAGTCCCAGCTGCAGCCACTCTTCCCCTACACTTGTTTGCCCATAGATATGGGGAAATTAGGGCTGGGAACATATTGTAGGCTGCATGTTCGAAGAACACCATGACCAAAATTCCACTAGTTCCTAGATGTCTTTGAACCACTGTTTCTCAGTATCTGTCACCACTCTTTTTACCATCTGGCTGCAGCTCATTTCAGGGGCTCCTCACCCTCAGAAAAGGAAGACCCTTTTGTGTGTGTCACTATGAGTTTTTGCCTCCTGTAGGTGTTCCTCTTGTGAAATAATTTGCAAATTTTATTAAAAAGGATAGAAATACCATATGATAATACACATAACTGTAAAACTAGCAGGAACATGAATGGGGAGAATTCTGCATTTGATGCGAAATTAATTAGGCCATGTTGTGTGTCAGGTCTTGATCTGAGAGGAGACAATGATAGGAAGGGCTGTGTTCTGGAGCCCCACAGCTACAGATTTCCCTGTCTGAAGTCAAGGGCAATAAAGTGTCCTTTTGCTGGAGAATTTGCATTCTCTCTAGAAAAGCAGCTTGTTTGACAATGCCCACGGGTCTGTGTGTTGCTGACAAACAAACTGCAGAGGAGTGTTACAGCACGAGTGCAGCTCCCTGTCCCGTGGGCTGCAGCTTACTCAGAGACATGGAGTGAGTTTCCAGCTCTTCACAGCAGGTCAAGCACTGTCTGTGCTGGCAGCAGGCTTGGAGCTGATGGCTCCTGCCACAGCTGTAATCACACTCAAGACACTGGGAACACCTTGGCATCGTGCATGTTCACTGAAGGACAAACATTTACCCAGGGTTACAGGAAGGCCTTTCTAGCATAAAGATCCTTGGACACTCCTTGATGCCAAGTTAATGACGATGAAGTTGTGCCTAGTTGTTGCACCAGTCATCCCAGTCACTTCCCAGTCACAGAACTGAAGAAGCTTTAAAAAAGGATTTCAGTCCAAATTCACACATCAAGGAAACAGCAGAGACAGAGAAGTGAGCAGAAAAAAAGTGATGATAAATGAGGCTGGAATGACTTTTTTTCACCTGCAAAACACGGGGATGTATTATTCCTCTGGGTTTTACTAGGCTGCACTTTTGTGCCCCAGTTTTCAAGCAAAAGTACCAGCATAATGTGAAATTTAAAGTCACTGCCATGGGGAATGATCTGATAAGAAAAGTACCTAAACTGCTGAAAATAATCAGGTGATGCTTAAAACCAAAACCTGCAAGATACACTTTTCACTAACTTTGGACATCTTCCCATCCTTCAGTTAATGCCCATTCTTTATTCCTCATTGTTACTTGTGAAGTGGTAAGCAAATTTTATAGAATGATTACCAGATATGCAACTTGTCAAATGAGATTTTTATTTCACTACTTTAAGGGTTGCTGTTTTGAAGTCCAGCATGGCATAGTTCAATATGAATTTTCATAGTGCCATTTTCAAGAGACACAAATGAACATTCAGCTCTGTAGCTCAAGCTGAAACAAAGCTATGGACCAAGAGGTATGGTGTCATCGTTAGCCCTGAGGGCTAACCATGTTATTAAGATGTTTTGATAGTACATAAGATTACTAGCT